TTTTCTCGAGAAAACAAACATCACGTAACTGTTATGTCACAAATTAATTAACAATTAATTAACAATAATATTTTCCGACCGGCGAATGGGAAAATTTGCCGCGGATATGAAACTAGTTATGAATACCACGCACTTCCTATGCGAATTACAGTTGGCGCGTTCGAACGTTAATTGTTATCGCTTTTTATTCATATCGTCGTCTTCACTGCGATGGAAATAGTCGTCGGTGTATCGAATTCTAAAATTTCCACGAAATTTACGACAAGACGCCGAAATTCATCTTATCTCTCCCCTGTGATATTCGTACAAAGATAACAATCTTTAGAACTTTCTTAAAGAAATCCAGAAACATCGCACGATATACCTATGCCGTGAACTTGTCTAATTAGTCTTGCGTTACATGCGCGTGGAAAAAGTTATACTCCGCAATTTTTCGAAAAGAGATAGCAACTTTAAGGATCGTGCAAGCCACCTTATTGGAGCGGAGATCCGACTCATCGCACTCAAGATCCAAGAGTGCAGAACGCAGACCGGAAACGCGAGGTTTCTATGGGATACCGATCAATTATGTGCTCCGTGGTAAGAACGCGGTATAAACAAACCCTCGTTGCGGCTGAGCGGCCGCTATAAAGCGATACGAATTTCTCGTGCTCGTTTTCTCAAATGCTCCGAGAGTAACAGCGTGGAACCGCGGCTCGACCACGACCTGAGACAAACGGTAACGAAACGCAACGGACAGAGATCCCGACGGTTCCAAGATTCCTTTACACGGGAAAGTGTAAACGGTGGTGTGGCGCGGACGCACGAGCGAAGCTGCTGGGCCCAGACCGACGGATCGCCACCCCATCCTCGCTTTTCTACCTACACCTATAGCCCCCTAGCCCCCCTCACCTCTGCTCCTGCCACCATCTACACCCCTCGGCCCCATCCCTCTTCGCTCTCCCAACCCAAACCCGAGAAGCAAGGAAGAGCAGGAAGGGGCAGGGAGCTCGAGTGGTTCTCAACAAACTTTTTAATATCGCGATAAAAAAGATAACGGTTAATTAATTTTTGTGTTTTTGAAAATTTGGATTTTTTAATATCAATAACTGGTCTTTTTCAAATTTGTATGTTTGAAATTTTCGCGTATCGACTATCCGCGTTTTTAAATATTAATAATTCATATTTTTTTAAATTTGACGTTCTGAATTTTCGAGTGTTAGTAATTCGCGTTTTTACAAATTCGAATCTTTGAATTTTCATATATTAGCAATTTAAATTTTTGAAATCTTGAATCGTCAAATTCTCAAAGGTAATTTTATAACGTGCAAAAGTCAAACGACATCTGCGAAGTCAGGCGAACAGTTTTAATCAGTTTATCCAACTGTCCAAATTATCAACGATCAGGTTTCTAAAGCAATGGAAACTAACTGACGTCAAAAGCTTACGACAAAGCCAACGATCGTCGGTGTCACAATATCTCGATTTCCAGACGCATCCTTGACACGTTCTATCGATCCAGTCATATCAAGCTAATCGCGCCTCTAGTCTTGAGTGCGACTTACCCTAACACACTACGCGATATCCTTACAAATGTGCAACATAAAACGAAGGAAAACGATTGGTAAAGAGTAAATAATTTACACACGGCCGGATACCAGTGAAATATCGTGAAAAATTAAAATACAGGAAATATGAGAACCTTCGTACCACCCTGATGCCCCCCCACACTACCTCCACTCGTTGGTTCACCCGCCCTCCGTAACACGGGGTGGCTAGGAGGGTTTAGGGAGAACAGGGGAGGTGGGTCGCGTACTACCTCCTACAAAAGTATGGCGTCACCTCCCGCGGTACAATCCCTGCCAAGAATGTAACACCGTTATTTTATTCTACCTTCAACGATACGTATTCCTAGTTATTGTACTATAGAGACAAAAGAAGAATAAAAAATAAAGAAAAATTAAAAATCATATTTAAAAAACCGTCTGATTCTTTCAAGATTAATTTTTCTTACTGCAATAAAGTGGTAGCATCATTTACCAATAATTTAAGAAAACCCATGAAAACCAAGTGAAAGTCAGACGTCAACTAATACTGCTAGTAATAAACTTTTGCTAGTAATAAACCATACATTTCTTTCTTTTCTAATAATTTTGAATAATTTAAATAATTCTTTTTCTACCAAGTACAAAATCCAAATATCGGTGCTGCTCCTTATTGACGAAGATCCTTCAATTCTTTCGTTGTAGATCGCGTTATCCGCGAAAGAGGGGTCGAAGAGAGAAGGTAAAGTGTACAACTGTACGAACTGAGTTGCGACAGGTAGACGATTATTCAATGTCAGGAAAATTATAGGACTAGCAGGAGTTTGTTAAAGCTTGACAGAAATTAAAATTCATATTAAGAGACCTGTATCTGCCGCAATCTTATCATTGTCGTTTTATAAATCCTCATTAAACGACACCGGTTGTTTATGTGACTCACGTGTACTAAATGAAACCCGAAAGAACGAAACTCTGTCTTCCGCGATTACAGACGGTAATAAATTTTATATGATATCAATTACTAACAGGTTTAGCGGCTCCGTAAATGCCGCCGATTTTCTTGTCAATCAAGAGATTACTCCGATGACAGAGCTTTCATCAATCATATTTACTCAATGATCTGTATTATCTGAATTCTTAATCATTCGCGTTGATTTTAGATACATTCGGAAGGCTTAAACTTTCGGATTGCTCTAAATTTGAACAAACAACAAAGCTCAAGAGATCATCATTTTGTTTAACGCTAACCTTCTCTCATATTTGTACAATTTAAAATCATTAATGTCATCGATTTTCTTATCAATAAAAACGTTCAATAAACGTGCTATTTAAATTTGTGATCTTTCGTGCTAATCTTGAAGATATCGTAAACGCGCAAAATCTTGATTGCCCCAAATTTTACAGTATAACGAAGTCTTCGAGTCCGTCATTTGCAATTCACCAGCTTTTCCTCGTACTCCCACGATCCGTTCAACAGTTTACAAAGATTTAAGACACTTGTAAACTCGAACACGCGTAAACACACGCGTGAGGAATTCACGCGTGCCCACGCACTCAGTGAAAGACACGTCGATGGTTTCGCGTGTAACGCGCGGTTAAAAATTTCTTCGGACAGTTCCTATATCTCTCGATCTTGTCGCGTAGCCTATTACTCGACTCGCAAGTTCTTCTTTTTCTAATTCGAAACTCCAGTTTTGAAGTTATCGACACGAGGAAATTCGAATAATGCGCCCTCGCCGGATTTAGCGACCGATCGAGTCACGCCTTCAGAGACGTCTGTTACTAAAACTATTCGAAAAACTGGTTTACGTAGTTCTCTCGTGGTCCGGTTCGCTCTTGTATAAATTATAGTACGTGTACACGGCGACAACTCCGACGCATGATACGAACTCTCGAAACGTCAATTCTTTCGAGTGACTCGATAACGTGTGATTTTTTCACTGCATCAATAATCTAGATCGGAGATAGTGAATCACTAACACGGCTGCCAAGTTTAGCACCGAGTGACTCGCTGCTGGCGCCGTTCATTACAGGTTTCGTCTGCACACGCGATATCTAGCTCCGTTTGGAAAAACGATACTTAACAAACAATATGTTTTCACAGTATCTGGCAACGATCGCGAAAAAATTTGGCAACTAACGGGGAAAAAAATTTATCTTCGATCTGAATTTGATGGAATCGTATTTTAAGAAGCACAGTGCTTCTCAATCTGAGAAACTTGAAGATACGTAGCTTCTTTCTTTATTGATAAAAATTGATTAAATTTTCAATACCGTAGAATTTTTTCTGTTCTGTTCACACCAGAACCATTCGTCGTAGCGACTCCCTAATTATTTTGAGCAATTTACATAGACTAAGGGGAAGATGTGTCTATAAGAAATTTGATTATTACCTACTAGTGCTATCGAAAATGTTCGGAAATAGTTGCTACTTTTGTTCCTATTTATAACTTTCCCGGTGATACATGGACGACCCCTATGTGTCTACTGAAACATTTGTGGCTTTTATCGCATCGAAGTATTGAAACAAGCTCTCTCTCTCAGTACGTAACTGATTTCGAAAACGAGTTGTTCGACTACAGAAGCATTGACGTCGATGCAAACGATCGAGACCATTTTCAAAGGGCAAGTAGCTCTGCCGAAGCAGGATTATCAGCAAGAATGCGGACTAACCGGGAGACGAGTGATAAATAACGGTGGCTACCTGTAGACTGTGTTATCTAGGAATGTTAGCAGTCGGACAACGTCAGACACGTGGTGCTCTTATGTTTTACACGCTAATAGCGACAACGTTTCTATATTCTAAACCGACGAAAGCCTATCGATGGTATCGTGTTCAAGTAAAAAATATTAATTCCATTGAATTTGGATTTAATACGCGTGATATCATTTCTGAACGCAACGTTCTCCCTTATAGCAATCAGAGTACAGCTTCAGATTTATCAAGATGCATTATCAAATACACTACGTACTCCGTTGATTGAGGAGTAATCTACGAGCTCTAAGACTATTTATTCGATAAGTTCGATCGAACGTGTTACTCATCAAATATATCTCTATCGCCCCTAGTTAATCCATCCGTATCTTCTTTATTAATTTTTAATTACTTAAATTTCGGTGATTAATAACATCAATAGATCTACATAAACCTACATTGATAATCGATAAAAAGAAAAGAACTTTCTCACAGTCCAAAGAAAATTCGATCTTGGAAGGATTAACTCAAGACCATTACTAATTGGCGATATATCATAGTGATATAAATCAATCTATTTCTTAAACGGATAGAAATATATCTTAACTGAAAATCAAGTTACACTTTCATTGAAGTTCTATATATCATACTTTAAAAAGTAGAAATACACAATTAAATTTAAATTCCCAAAACTTTAACTTACACTTGCATTCAGTTAGATCTCTCATATACATCATAATTGATAAGTAACACGTCGAGAGCATAATATAATCGACACTCACCCTTGCTCTATCCTGTCGACGGGACCCCCAGGACCCATCATTGCTGGATGTCCAGGCCCAATAGGTCCTGTCATCGGATGACCTGGTCCGAATGGGCTTCCAGGTGGCATACCGTACTGGGGACCTCCAAACGGTTGACCATGCGAAGGAAAATGAGGATTCCCTGCTCCCGGAGGTACAAACGGCGGTCCTGAGGAACCGGGTCGACCGACGAACTGCGGTGGCCCGCCAGATGGCGAACCGAACGGGCTCGGTCCGG